GCAAGGATTCTGAAGCTTCGTCTGACATACTTTGGACATGTTGCAAGGAGGGACCAGTCCTTGGAGAGGGACATTATGCTTGGGAGGGTGGAGGGAGAGCAGGAGAGGAAAACACTCTATGAGGTGGATTGATTCAATAACTGTGGTAATGGGGATAGGGGGTAGGTGTGTCAGAGACAGTGAGATTTGCACTGGATAGAGCAGGGTTTAGGGCTGTTGTACATAGGGTCGCTGTGAGTCATAGGGGACTCGACAGCACATAACAACAACAACAACAGCATAATCACATATAAATGTGTAGAGGCAGAGCCAATGTGGTCTTGATGCTCTCTTCAATGTATTTTCTGTGACCCATTCTAGAATGGAAGAAACGAGGGTGGTACTACAGGACTGGGAAAGGACAGCCAAGGTCAGAGATGTATCTGTGGAAACAGCGCCTATGGCAAAAAGGGAAACTGAGCCCCTCCCCAAAATCTGATATGTAGCTATCAGATAACTTTATCACACTATCAGCTCAAAATCAAGCTTCTTAACCTTTTACTCTATGATACTGCATGAAAAAGCTGCATCTTCCTGCTTTCACTGACAAAAACTGGTTTATGACATATTCAAAGCTAATTTTTTTTTTAACATTCACCCCTTTCTACACAGCAGAGCAATATCACAGCCTGCCTTAACCCACAGAGGCTCTCAAATATTAAAGAATTAATTTTAACTTGTTGAAGGATCTCTCACAACTGGCAATGGAAAATGTGATCTTTCATACCTTAAATATGCCTCTGCCAGAAACCATAACTTGAAAAAAAAAAGCAGTATGATGACAAACGAGGATGTCACAGAGAAGGAAAGGTCTGGAACAGAACTACGAGACACCTTCTTTCCTTGGCATGCAGTACACATCAGTTATAGTGCTGTTATGTGCCATCGAGCCGCCTGCAACTCATAGTGACCCTATGCACAATAGCTCTGAAGCCTCCCTGTCTTGAGCCAATCTCATTGTTTCCAACACACCTGCTCCTATTACCCCAGTTACTGTGTCAATCCATCTCATCCAGGGTCTTCTCTCCTGCACTGTCCCTGCATCCTTCCAAGCATGATACACAATATAAATAGAGGGTGTGAGGGAGAAGAAGTTGAGTGAGCAGGTGTTATAGATCACTTGACACGACATTGATCACCCAGGGTTTCTTACCCCGGATTCTGTGGCCTCCAATAGGTCTATAGATAGAACTTATGGATGGGAATAGGGTGTGTAAAGTAACATACTAAAATATGATGCCTTCCCCCCACTAATCTTTACTTGAAATTTATCCTTTCCTTTTATAATGATTGTTGAAAACAAACTACAGTAGTATTAGCAGAACTGAACTTTGTCATCAATAGATATGGCAATTTTCTTATCTCATTAAAGTAGTTGAAGATATCTTGAAATATGATTTCTATCACTATTTTGAAACTATAGCACTTACTGCTGTTGTTTTTGTGTGCCGTCAAATTGACGGTACAACCCATAGCTGACCCTCGAGTGGCATTCAGATTTGGATTCAGATACAGTAACTCACATGGGAGGTGACTGTCCAGCTTCCTCCTATAGAGAATCAAAGCACATGCCTTTGTGGGGCAGCATAATTCCTTACCACTAAGTGACCTGCAATCACAGCAGCTATTAGAGCCATATTACTAAATAACAATTTAAAAATATTTTTAGAATTCTATTTTAATATAATTTCCCCCTTTCTAATCCAATATATCTTATGTGTTATAAATCATCCCAGTGAGATTCATAAGTTTTACCAGACTGCTAAAAGGTTCACAGCACAAAACCAAGTTCACAGCTCCTGAGTGGCAGGGCCTGGCTGGCACGAGATTTTCTCTGAGTGTCTCCAGAGGAGGTGGTGGTGGGCTCCATGCTGACCCTGACAACTGTGCTGATACCACTGGATACTGAGACTAGAAAGATCTTTTGCTCCCATTAGTCCACCGTAGTGGACTCTGTCCAAAACTGGTGGTCAGTGATGAATCTATAGAATCATGAGGTTGGCACAGAACCAGGCAGGGTTTTGTTGCATATTTCATAACGTCACTATGAATTAAAGCCCTAATGACAATCATCTCTAGATGTAAGGAGGCGCACAAACCGGCACTGAACATGGTGTCTGATGGTGGTAACGTTGACGTCCAGATTCCCTGAGGAACTGCTTTTTCTTCTGTGTTCCTGTTGAAAGCTTTCCTCGTTGTACACATCTCGTTTAACATCGTATGTGAAAGAATTTTGCTGGTATCTAGGACCAAAATTCAGGGGACTCCTCTCTGGCTGCATTATTTCTGGGTAAGCGAAAAGAGAACAAATAGAAAACCATTTTTTAAAAATTAAGAGCCTTAGTATATTTTTGATAGACATGAAATAGCCACATGATTTTTTTTTTATTTGCACAACACATTTTATTTTTTCAAAACTTGCTCTCATACACTTCACATTTTGGACGCAAAACAACTCTTTGGTTGGTTTTTTTTCTTTGTGCAAGATAAAATGTGTATTATTCTCGTTTTCAAGGTAGAGAGTAATTAAAGTTCAGAAATATAAGCAGTCTTGGCTGTTAATAATAGAGTCAGGACTAGAAGCTAGGTATCCTGTTAAAAATTCTCTTCTCTGCACTGCAATCCCAGAGGAACACGGTTCGAATCCACCAGATGCTCTGCCGGAGAAGGAGGCGCAATATCCTCCTGTACCAGTCAGATCTGATTTGACGGTACACGCACACAAAATAATAAATAAAAATAAAAATTCTCTTCTTTTTAATCAACTGTGCCACAGAGAAACAAAGAAGAAATAAAAGTCAGGATTAACTACTACTTTTCATTGAAAATACTAAAAGTTACAGACCCAATATAGTATTCTCTTCCCCTCCTTCCCCCCTTCCTTCTTCTAGTGATTTTAATAAAAGTTTATAGGTTTTCTTTTTTTTCCCACTTTATACTGGTTTATTTAAAAAGTTCATATAGTATCTTCTAAACCCCTCTTTCTCTAAAGTAAATCAAGCCAAACCCACTGCCTCTGAGTTTATTCCAATTCACAGAAACTCTATGGTAAGGAGTTGCACTGCCAACCCAAAGGCATGCAGTTTGATTTAACCAGCTGTTCCATGGGAGAAAGATGGGGGATCTCTTCCTCTGCCTCTGAAAATCTGCTGGAGGATAAGCTACGAGTTAGTTCCAATTGTAAGGTACACAGCAAAAACTATTGCCAGAATAGAACTGTCCCATAGGATTGTCAAGCCTACAATCTTTACAGAAGCAGACTGCCATATCTTTACCCACCAAGCAACTGGTGAGCTTGAACCATGGACCTTTTGGTTAGCAAGTGAGTCCTTAAACCACTGTACTGCCAAAGCTCCTGCTATCTAAAAATCATATCATTCTCTAGCCTTATCTTGGCCTCACAGCACTTGCTTATTGACTATCCCACTAAAATAGAAGCCCAAGACCCAAAATACTTAGTGATCAAGTATTCTGATACTTAGTAAGCCCATTTCTCAAATGTCAGGTATCCAGTTAGTGGCACCAACATGTCACAGAAAACTACTGCACAGTATGACACCAGGAGAACAAGGGTGCCAGCCTTAGCTTTATTTCTCCCCATAACTAGTTGCATGATTGAGGACAAGTTCCTTACGTTCTGAGTTACAGTTTCCTTATTTATAAAATAATGTAATTGTACTAAACACTTTCTAAGGATCACATTTAACTTTTTTTAAATTGAGACATTAATGAAAGTTTATAGAGAACTTGAATTTCCATTCATTTGTTGTACATTTTCCTCCCTGCTCACCCCTCCCTGTCACTTTTCCCTTTGGAAAAAAAAGTATTCATTGTTATACAATCTCCTCCCCCAGTCCACTTTACTATGCAGCTATTATTCTGGACTCTTGTCATGCAAATAATACCTAATCATATATTCCTTTTAAACAATTCTCTCCCTCATCTGTTTCAATGCAGTGTACATTATTTATCCCCTCTTTTCTTAATTTCCCCCCAATCCCAATGTCAGTCCTGTTTCATAACAGTGGCATTATGCAGTATTTATCTTTTTGTGACTGAGATATTTAACTCAGCATAATGTTCTCCAAGGTCACCCATTTTGTATAATACTTCATGAGTTCCTTGTTTTTCGATGCTGCATAGTATTCCATTGTGTGAATATGCCATAGCTTCTCTATGCATCATTAGTTTGACTTTTATTCACAAGTAACTTTTCCTGTTAAGATTTACAGCCTTGGGAACTTAATAAGGGGTTACAGTGAGTCCAAATTTACTTAATGGCATGGCATTTGGTTCAGAGTTTTTAAGAAAATGATAAATAGGAGTTAATGAGGATGGAGATAGATCCATTTCTGGAAGAAAGTAGGACTAATCTTAATCATCTGTAGTTTTGAATAATAAAAAGGTTATCATCTCTAAAATTCTCCCACAAAAAAAAATAAACTTCTCCCACATAAGCATGAAAAAGTATATATGTATATTACCCACTCATTGCTGTCAAGTTGATTCTGACTCATTATACAGTTATAAAATGTATAAGTAAAATATAAAAAATTATGTAGTAAGTAAACATCCAAATTGGAAGCAGGAGTGGCATCCACTTTCTAAATAACATGCCTCCTGAAATTCTATGAACTTTAATAAATGTCGATAGTTGTAGAGGGGCTTAAGACCTTTTGTTCATAGGGTCGCTATGAGTCATGCTCAACTCGAAGGCAATCAACAACAACAAACACCCAAAAGTTCTTTTATGGGAGAGGATGAAACCAAATTTAATGGATTAGTGACGTTCAGAATGATCATAAAGCATCATCACCACCATCACCATCACTAGCTCTGCTTAATGCTAAGCATGACACCAAATATGTTCATTAATGATTTCATTTCTTTATTACAATAATCCTACTGGTAACATTGTCTGATTTGAAACACTTGTTGCAGAAGATGAAAGACTACAGCCTATAATCTGGATTACATCTCAACATCAAGAAAACAAAAGGTCCTCATCACTGGGCCAGTAGACAACAATATGATAGATGGAGAAAAGATTGAAGTTGTCAATAGTTTCATGTTGCTTGGATCCACAAGCAACACTGTGGGTGGGTATCAACAGTTAAAAAACCAAAAGATGCATATAGCACTGGGAAAGTCTGCTATCAGGGATCACTCCAAAGTACTCAGGAGAAATGATGTTCGCTTAAAGACTAAGGTGAATAAAACCATGGTCATTTCAATCACTTGGTTCTGAGAGCTAGACAAGAAATAAAGGTTACAGAATAAAGAACATTGCCTTTGAGATGTAGTGTGGGAAAAGGGTGCTGAATGTCCTATGGACTTCCAAAAGAAAAAAACAGATAATGTCATGGAGATAGTGCAGCCAGAGTGCTCCTTAGAGGCAAGGATGGTAAAGATCAATCTAACATACTTTGGGCATGTTAATAGGAGATATATCACCTTGGAAAAGGACATCATGCTTGGAAAGGTGGAGGGTCGGTGAAAGACAGGATGACTCTTTACTAGATGGACTGACACAGTGATTACAGCAATGGGAACAAGTATATCCGAGATGATAAGGACGGTACAGGAAGGGACAAGCTTCAGATCTATTGTTCACAGGGTCGCAATGAGTCATACTTAACTGATGGCACTTAAACAACAACAGTATTATCTAGTGGCTTAGTGTGTAGGGAGTTGTGCTGCCAACCCAAAGACAGATGTTTTGAGCCCACCATGAAGAACAGCTTCGAAAAACCCACTGGAAGGTCAGCTATGCGTTGGTTCCAACTTGATTGCAATGAGTTGTAATTTTGCTTGTCCAATATTGTCACCACTTCACAGATGACGAAAATGATGGTTTATAATGGCTAAGTAACTGGACCAGAGATACTAAATGAATGTTTACATCAAAACATTTACATTGGGTTGCAATAGTGCGCTGCATAACACCCAGGAACTAAAACCAAAACACCAAGCCTATTTATTGTGGAGTCAATTCTAACTCACAGTGGCTCTACCTGAACAAAGAAGAACTGCCCTTAGAAGGTTTTCAAGGTTGTAATCTTCATAAAGCCTAACTGCCATAGCTTTCTGCAGCAGAGCAGCTGGTGGGTTTAAACCACAACCAACCTAATCCCTATGCCTGTTGAAGAAGGTTTGGTAGTGCAATGGTTAAAATGCTTGCTGTCACCAAAATGTTGCCTTTCAACCTCCAGTTAGTGGCCACGTTCTTTAACCATGGTTATCAGGGGTCCTTCCCAAGAGTTAAACCATTGCTGCTGAGTACACTGTGTTTCATAGAGATT